ATTTGGTTGTATCATAATCATTTATGTTTTTGTTTATCAATTTTATTTATTCTTCAAAATGTTACAATTGGTTCCCAAAAACGGAAATTATTTATGATTCAATCAAATTATTTGGCTAAAGATGTAAACAGCCATTTTTCCAGTGTCATGTCCTTTATTAATCCAAAGAAATTCATCCATCATTATTTGACAACTGTAAATATTACTATCTTTTCAGTACTTGCTCATCCAAGTCTTTGAATCATTCCTCAAAATGAAAGAGAGAGAACATTGGGAATTCTCCAGTAATTAAAATAGCAAAATCACCATCAAGTGATTTTTCCATTCATTTTTTTGCAGACAGTTAATCAACAATAGTGATTGATGGGGAAAATTATCATGTTAATTTCCTTAGCTGATAAAAATGTCCTATTATTGTTTATATGGTTCTGTAGAAAATTAAGCATTCTAAAATTAATTCTAGAATTGTTGAATTTAGATAAACATCTCATGGGAAGAAATGTAGTTCTTTTGAGACTGATCTTGGAGAATGTTTTCTTTCTTGTTTGGAGATATTTTTTAAAGTTTGGCTTCTCTTTAGTTGAAACTCATTAACACTATTAGCTTTTATGAATGATAATTTTGATTTGTGAGCCAAAGTTGCTGGGAATTTTTTTCTCTTAGTTATGAATGAAGAATGCATAGTAGAAATTGAGAGTAAACCTTTGTTATAAATGCTTGTGAATCATAATTTATCTGAAGAAAAAAATAAAATATAAGCTACCTTTTTAATAACTGATATAATTTAAAGAATTGCTGGAGCTTTTCAAAAATAATTATTTTTACTTATAAAAATGATAACCTTTTCTTTTTGTTCAGATATGTACATCTTAATTTATATCCGTAAATTTAAATAACATTTTTGTAATAATTGAATTATAGTATCTATTTAGTATCTGATGGTAAGTGCGACACTGAGATGACCAAGGACATATTCCAAAAGTTGGCCAGAGTATTGCAAGACAGGAGGATTTCTTTGGTAACAAAGAACAGAATACAGAGTTGTTATGTGACATCTATCCTTCTTTATGGCAGTGAATGTTGGACAATTTCCTCAAAGATGAAGAAGAGACTTGAGGCGACAGAGATGTGATTCTACAGGAGGATGCTAAGGATATCATAGGCTGAGCGTGTGAGCAACAGTGAGATCTTAGAGAGGTTGCAAACAAGGAGGAGGCTTATACTTAATACCAGGAAGAGGCAGCTGAAGTTTTTGTGACACGTAATGAGAAAGGAGGGCCTGGAGAATCTGATACTCACGCATCAAATAGAGGAAAAGAGAGACAAGGGAAAACAATGTGTGACACACCTGACGAGTTTGAGCAGGTGGATGACAGAACATGGTCTGGGGGAGGAAGCAGAAGGAAGGAACTTGTTGAGAGCCGCAATGGATAGAGGGAGGTAGAGAGCCATGATCACCTATGTCCTAGGACATGGTACATAAAAAAAAAGTACTTTTTGGTTAAAAAGTATTTATTGATCTCTTTTTTAATAAAGACTATACGAAAAAATTACACAAGGTTTGTTATTAAGGTGCTGAGAAGCTGAAAATAGAAATTTTTTTTTTTCTTTTCTTCTGCAGTTGCATAAATTGTTTATATATTTTCCACTTCCATTTAACGTCTTATCTCATTGATTCACGGTTTCCTTTCTTGCTTGCCGATTCTTGTGTTTTAAGTTTTTGTTTCTACTCAAATGCCTGACGTGGCAGTCGAAGCTGCTGCTGAGAAACCAATAATGGATTCAAGAAAGAGTGTAGGATGAACATTTATTTTTGCTTTATTTTTGAATATGCCTATTTTCAGAGTATTGGTGTCATGTTAATTTGCAAGCTGTATTCAAGCTAGCAATTTCATCTTGGTAATAAATAACTGAAGAATATCACTTAGAATTTTTTTTGTGTGACAAATTCTTTTAAATGTAAGCAACAGTCAAAAGGATGAATTGTTTGCTTTTATTAAATTTTCACTGTCTTTCTCCCTTGCTTGCTGTGTTGTCTTTCTCTCTCAATTAATTGTGTCTGTCTTTCTCTCTCATATAATTGTGTCAGTTTTTCTCTTTCACTCAAATGTCTGTGCCTTTCTCTCTCTCTCTTTCTCTCTCTCTCTCTGCCCTTTTCTCTTTCATGTATGCATATGTAAGAAAATAAACAAATATTTCTTAATTATCATTTCTTTTTTCTCATACTCTCATTGTATTTTGGTTTTTCTTATAAATTATACCAACAATTAACAAATGAGCCAAGGTCTAATCATGGTTACATTTTGTCCTTGTCTGTAAACTTAAGAAAAACAATTGCCAATTTAGAATATTTTATATAAGCATCACAGGATGGATCTGATTTTAGAATCTTAATATTTCAGAAAAAAATGAATGTTTTTTTTAATCAGACAAAAGTTAAAAGTAACATTAGGTTATGGGATGTGTTTCTGCTTTCAGAAACAAGTGACAGTCAAAATCACTCAAAAACTATTGTCAGAGTTTCATATCTCTGCTGGGTTTTCTAAATCATCTTGGATAAATGTGAAATATCCCAAGAATAAAAAAATCTTTTTCAATTACAGAATTCATTTAACATATGCATTGTATTAAGTTTGTTTTGTTTGTTTAACAGCATTATGGGTTACTTAATGCTGACATTTAACTTTCTTGGGAGCAAAAATGCTAGTAACTTTTTTTTCTTCAAAAATGTATTGCTGGCAATTTTTCTTATAAAAATATAGTGCTGGTACTATCTTTTCCTTTTTATTCTTTTTTTAAAGTGTATTGCTGATAATTCCTTTACTATGAAAATGCATTGCTGGCACTTCTACTACAAAAATGTATTTTTATACATTCTTAGTGTTTTGACCCCAGATTAACCATTTGTCCATAGCTGGGATCCTAACAGGTGCTACCACCCCAGGTCACTGTGGACCTGGAAACACCAGTAATTGTGAGGTGGTTCCATGCTCCTCAAAACCTCCTGATCAGTGACCTTGCTGCCGGATGTAGTTTATCATCATACCCAAGACAGCTGTATTAAGTAACCTGAAAAGATAATCTTAGAGAAGATAAATGTTTGATTATTTGATGGGAGTTGATAATATTTTTCAGTTTGTTTTAATAAAAAGATGAAACTTAAATGCTTGAATTTCAAATTGATTTAGTTTTTATTAAAATTGTATTTTTTAAATTACCAATGATTTTATGAAACAGTTAATACTAAGATATTTTTAAAAATACATCCAAGTTGAGCAACTGCCTTTTTTTTTTTCTATGCCTAAAAATGTCTGCATATGTTTTAAAACTGTATTTCAACTTCATTTTTATTTTATTTTTTTAAAGGTATATTTCGCAGCAATTCCCTCTTCTTAGGAGCAAACTGTCGGCAGGCTGTTGCTGATGGACGTGGTGATGTCACTCCAATTTTCTTGGGCGAGATTCCTCACTTATTTCGAAGAAAAATCTTGACCCTTGATGTGGCCATTGTTTCTGTATGTCCACCTGACAATCATGGCTTCTGTTCACTGGGACCAAGTATTGATTGTGCTCGAAGTGCTTTGCAAAATGCCAAATACATTATTGGTAAGTTCAGATTTTTATACAGTCATAACAATTAATTTTCTAATACATTTATGAGTCTACCATTCTTCCATGCATTGAATGTTGCTGCCATATCTGGTCTGGTGCATCTGCTATGATTTAGAGATTCTTGATTAAATCCAAAATTTGGAATGTTATTGGTCCTGACCTGGCATATCAGCTTCAGTCACTTTCCCACAGTCATAATATAGCTTCACTGTGCCTTTTCTATAAATATTTTCGTGGTAACTGTTCTGATGAGCTTTCCTCTTTGATAGCTAGACTTTACAAATTTAAACACAGTACTAGATTGGTAGCTAGGTCTCATCATTTTACAGCTGAAATTTTTCAGTTTGTTTTAATAAAATATATATATATATATATATATATATATATATATATATATATATATATATGAAAGTTCAGGATACTTATCAGGGACAAATTTAAAGTTTCATGAAGTTTTGCTTGTAGGATCCAGGCAAGAAAAAATATTGCATTAATCTTATATATATATATATATATATATATATATATATATATATATATATAGTGGTCTATATATATATATATATATATATATATATATATATATATATATATATATATGTAGGATATATAATGAAACATAAGTTCTATACTAACAGCTTTTCTCTTGCATGTCTTATTTGTGGAATCCTCTTCTGGCCTCTTGCCCTCTTGCTTTCCAGTCAAGTTTGATCTTCAAAAATTTAAATGCAATGCCAATCATTATCTTCTGTTTTCTTGATTCCACTGATTTTATTGTTTTTACTCATTAATAATGTTTTCTTTTTCTTATATTTTATCATATTCAATAACCCTTTACATCTGAGACACTTTGAGGTGGTGTAATGGTTACCAAGTTTGTCTCATTAGATCAATTAAGACTGAGTAGTGAGTTTGATCCTCACTGGATGCCCCTTACTTTCAGCCTTTTGCCACATCTAAGCTACAATAAGCCTTTGCATCTTTGTGGCTTTATTGCCTTGTTTGGAGTGAAATGATTAAAAAAAAATTTAAATACTGATTAGAAATTTGATACTCAATTCTATTGTTTTTTTTTTTTATCAAATGTACTTTACAAAGATGGTAACTTTTTAGTGAAATAAACTAAATGATTAAAGAAAGAAAATTTTGTTGTCAAAGAAATTAAATGGCATACAAATTCTTAGATTGTTGGCCCATTAGGTAGACCATAATTGTTATGGCCAAGACTCAAAGAAAAAGTAAGTGATTGACCAGACAGTATTAGTATTTTCTTATATGAATCAGTGTTCATACAGATGTGTGCTGAATTTTCAGCTTTTGATTTTTCTTTGTGAGGCTCTTGGATGATTAGTATCTTGAATACATGTCTTTTTTTTAAAGCATGGATTCCACTTTAGTTCATGCACCATACCTGACTTATTGAATTCTGAATTCAATTTTCAAATTAACCTTCAGCTGAACAAATATATGTTTCTCTTTCTAATTTTTTCTTTCTTTTACTCATCACCCAAATACTTACAAGTTTGTTTTTGCTCATTTCTGGAGATGGAGGAAAGAATTTACATTTCACTCGTGTTTTAGTTATTTATTTTAAATATGTTTTATTATTTTTAATTTTTTTTATTCTGAATTTTTTTTCCTTGTGGTAAATTAATCTAACAAAAATGTTAGAATCCCGAATTTGGTGTGCCAAAAAAATTGTTAATATTTTTCAGTTCCTTATTGTTCCCAGATTTCTCTTAAAATGTAACCACTGAAATTGGCTTGTTGGTAAGCAAAAAATAATACAATCTTCTCCCTAAAAGAAATTGTCCAAAATTCACTGGCCATATTGATTTTACATAGCAGTTCAGCACTCCTCTGCTACTAATGAAATTTTACTGTTTCTTAATACTTTGTTTAGATTTTGGAAGGCATCTTTTGCTATTCTGTGTCACATTTCCTGTCATCTGTTAAAACACTTCCAGGATAGTTAAATTTCTGTACTTGCTTGATTCTAACATCTTCAATTTGTAACTTGCATGTTGGACTGCCCCTCTTGCTAATGATCAAGTTGTAAAAAGCTATGATTGCTCTTTGGGACATGGTAGATCAAAGAAAACATCTTGATATATACTGGTATCTGACTCCTCTTACTATGCTCTACCTTTACAAGAGTCAGATCAGGCCGAAAATGAAGTACTGCTGTTATATATGGGCAGGAGCTACCCAGTCTTCACTTTCCAGTCTCAATAGAGTCCAAAAGTGCCTCTGCATCCTTGTGGGTGATGGATTATTTTTCAAACAACAGCATTTTTCCTACAGACAAAACATTGCAAGTCTCTTGCTGCTCTATCACTATTGCCATGGAAAGTGTTCAGAAGAACTACATTTCCAGTTCTAACCTTCATGACTAAGACCCACCATGCCATGCATATTGTAATGAAATCACCATCATTCCCTTTGTATTCCATTGGTGAAATGGAAGTTCCACTTGAAAAGCTTCCTCCCATGAACCACTGCTTTGTGGAATCAACTCCCAAGAGATTGCTTCTCCGATCATTACAATCTTAACCTGTTCAAGTCTAGGGTTAACCATTATTTTCCCCATATAGCTCCATAAACTGTGCCTCTTACTCTGTAACCCTCTACCTCAAGTGGCTCTTGGGCCTTTTACAGATTGAACATTATTGTAAAATAAAAAAAAAATTTAAAAAAAGAATACTTCTTACTGTACAAAACCAGTTCTGGTGAATGGTACTCGTGATACATCTGTAACTATTTCTGCAACTATTTCTGCCATAAGTGAGACCAAAATTGACTTCTGGTCTTGTGTGCCACTGAATTCAACATTAAGAAATGTAATTTTATAGCAGTATTTTTTTAATGAACATTTTAACCTAGATTCAATTCATGTTTCTTTTTAAAAATTACAGTTGAGAGGATTACTAACAATATTCAATGGCCACATATGTGAAATGAATTCTTATTGCTTTGGTAGTAGCACCCTGAGTAAAATGCTTATGGCCTAGATTTCTCAAGGCAACGGGACTCAAAATCTGGTTTAAATTAGGTTTGTACTTTTAGAGCAAGTTTTTTTATCGCTTTTGAAAAAAGAAGTGTAGAATTATATGATTTCTGGCGATTGCTTAGTTTACAGACTGAGTTTGGTGGGGAAAATAGAGAAATGGCAGGTCAAATCCAAAATGTCTGCTCTCATGTTTAAACCTAAACTAAAAAGAATATTAAAGAATTGGTATTTCTCTCATGACATCTCCATGATTATCTGTAAAGAATTACTAATATAAAAGTGATCTTTTATATTAGTATTAATTACTAATATTTAAAATATTTCATGGTTATAATTTACTGAGTAAAATTTATCTCTTCTTCACAGCCATTTCTAAAAGTTGTCTTTTTAGACTTTTATGTTAGTATAGTCTGATCAAGCAGAATTTAAAATAAATTTTTTTTTTTTTTTACTGAATTATGGGTGTGGGTAACTATGTATATAATAGCCCCTTCTAAGCACTAATTTTCTTTCTGGCCTAGACAGTGCCTTTTTTATTGATTTTTCACACGCAATATAGTGGTAAAATGAAATTGCAATATCATTTGTGTCGGCACTCCATTTTTTTTAGATACTGTTTATTTTGTCTACCAGCCTGTACACTCAAGAAAATGTGCCCTATAGCAAGATTCAAACCAGCATACCACTTTGCAGGAGAAACCACTGTCTATTCTGGTGTGCTTTCATTGTTCAGCTACAGAGAGTTTCACAGTTTTATTTGACTTAATGAACATTGACTTGTTCAGATTTTCTTGAAAGCCATATCTGCTCAGTTTCCTATCCCAAATGTAAACAAAGCAATTCCTAAAGAATTAATGGATTTTATGTTGGATTAAAAA